CTAGCAGACACGTGACCAGCCGCAACCAGGGTACTTTCTCGAGGGAGAAAGAGAGAGGACCCTGGGAACGAGGTTGTGACAAACCATGCACAACATGATCACAGAATAATACTAACTTTATTTAACAGGGTTATTCCTACGTTCATGGCGCTTTACAACTATGCAATCAGTAATAAAATCTATACACAAAAGGAACAAGGTACTTCTTGTTTCACGACCGCAGAAAATTCGAAAAGCTGAAGTTCCTAGCGGTAGCACTTGGTCGGAGCAAAAGAAATTCTGATTAGCTTTGATAAAAACAACAACAAAAGCACATGACCTCGAATGTTTTTTCTCACCTTGTGTCTGTTGTGCAAGTTGGTCCTGCTCGCTACAGAATCCGCTGTCTCTTCCAGGTACTGGTGGTCTAACAACAGCAATACCTTTGTCTGCGGCTTTTTCATCGTGAAGTGCCTGTACTTTACCCCCAGCCTCGGCAACCCCTGTGTTCCTGACCTCCTCTTGAATGGCCCGCTGCTCTTCAAAGGTCATTCTGTACGATCGATTTGATGAATGGTCTGAACCGGGTCGACCCTTTAGAACAAACAATAATTTATTAGCATCTCTCTTGGAAATTAGTCCAGGAAGTTTAGTTGACTTTCGGTCTATGCAAATCACCATATGGCGAATAGTTTTCTGCACGAAACGACTTGCTTCCAACAGCAGTAGAGTACTCCTACATCTACATAAGGAAGGGGGTAGGTGGGGGTCCTGCAAAGCGATATATGCCTCACCGCAAGACTAACCACTCCTTAGTTAGGCATGAATGGGCAGACATTCGGGAAGAATTTTTTTCTGCACGCTGCACGCTAAAAAGTGGAACTTGGGGCAGCCTGGTAACTTATGATGAAATAGCATCTCACTAAGGGGCTGTCGCTCTATTCCTATCAGTTGAAGGAAAACCAACTAATTTCCCAATTCATTCTGGAATCATTCCAAAAAAAAACAACAACAACAATCAGCACTAAAAATGCACTCTTTGATCCAAGTAAAATTATCTTAATATCCATGGCAACTATACACTTTATCATTTAATGCAGTATGCAGATGCAGAAAGTGATATTTTCACCCTAACTAAAACATGTACAACTGCTTATGGCCTTAATTCTTTTAGTCAACAGGCGGAAAAATCCTGGAAGGCACTGCCAAATCAATATTGCACTGTTAGATTTCAACACCTTCCGCAAATTAATTTTGTCCTGTAATATTGCATAAATTTGTCTGCTTTGTTCTGATTTTTCTTTCATTTTTTTAAATTTGTGACATTAGGTAGCTCAAGAAATTAGCAGTGACACTACCCAAAATTTGAGGGTAAATAAAGTTAATGATGATGATGGGGAAGATGACGACGATGCTTACCCCACAAGACTGCCGTTCGTCTTCCATCCAGGGTGGGGTCAGATAGATGTTTTCTTCTGATGGGCGGCGTGAGTTCTCCATTGATCTTGTTTTACGATATTGTGCAGCAAAGTCCTGTGTACAACAGTATCGTTAATTGAAGGCTTTCGTGCAAAAAGGGCGTATGTAGCATTTTGGGTCGATTTTTATTTTTTGCAGGATCGAGCTAATTTTCGGCAGACTGACTTGTTTTGACATGAAAAGCATCGTTGCGTAATTGTTTTTGTTGATTTGCACTTCGTTTTCGAGAAATAACGTATGCAGAAAAACTCAGTTTTCCGAGCGGCATCTTTTGGAGCGAATCCTTCGAAGGTGGATTTTGACGCAGCGCGAACTTAAACGGTTACGTTTAGCAGCTTCGACAGCAAGATTTTTTTAAAATAGATATTTTGATTTTTGAAAGACGTAGAGAAATAGACCGGAAAAAAAATCGACCAACCTCGTATCGAATTAGTGTCACAACAAAACAAACTCGGATGCGGCCCGTTCAGCGCCTTATCCGCTTGTGCTAACGAAGCAACAGTAAGAGAATTGCGTAATTATATAAATAATAAA